CACGCAGAATCGCGTAACGGGCCTGTTACTCAATTAGTGAGTAGTTTGCGTCTGTATGGTGAGTGCGGGTCAAACGTTGAAGAACCTGCTCGAAAATAAAACATTATCCACCGTCCATCAACGGACGGTACGTGGTTACGCTAGTGAAAATATTTAAAAAGAACCTGGCGGTCTCACATCAGCACGGATGAGTTTTCGGCTTGCGTAATTATCCGTGAGGTATCCAGAGAAGCGATCTGAGCGTTCGTAGACACGCCCAGCCTTACGACACCACCCGATATGCTGTGCACAGGATTATAATGAAAAGGAACTTCCGTATATATAGCGCCCTTCAAGTGCAAGTTTCGAACCCATGGTATTCAACAAAGCGGCATGATTTTTGTTGCTGGTGTTTGAATAAAATAGATACCCATTCCATTATTTTCACTAATAAGATGGTTTTCAGTTTGCATGGAGCACAGAAGCAGTTATTTTGGGCAGCGTGCAACCCGCACAGGTACAGTGCTTTACGTATGCACTATGATGCAAAGCTCATGATATAGGCCGGGTTGACTTATCAAAAAATCTTGGGGCCATTTTTCTTTTACAGTAATTTGACCTGCAGGTTGTTGTTTCGCAGCACTAATGCCATACGTTTCCTAGCAGTTATGTAACTGAAATTGCTGCTGCATTGCGTCCTTCCGCAGCTGAAAGCCGCAGAGTTATTGAGTACCGTTTTTTGGCAAAAAAGATGGTGCAACCACACCCTATGCACAAACGGTACGGGATTATTTCAACGAGACATTCCCTTGCGTTGGATGGGTCAAGGAGGACCAATAGAGTGGCCAGCTTGATCACCTGATTTGAGGACGTTAGATAATTTCCATGGAATTGATTAAAACAACGTTCAAAAAATTAAGCATAATTGTCTTGAGGAAATGAAACGATTTCCTACGTGTGTCGCAATATCGCAGTGGAGACTATAGCAAATGTGCAAGCCAACACCATCAGGTGAATGCTGCTCTGTATGCAAAACGCTGGTGGACAATCTTAACATCTACTTTATTGACATTTAGCACCATTATACTGATTTAATGGCTTAATTAGTGCGCTGGTAACCACTGCCAATAGTGTGGAGAGGCAGACTGAATGGTAAGAGAGTTGACTAGAAAATAAGATGGTAAGGTGAGTCATTACTAAATGCTGACGGTTAAAATGGGGCGTCCAAGCTTGGTAAAATAGAGTAGTTCCAGGCAGCAAGATCCACTTTTGCAACGATAGCTACCTAATGAGAGCTAACGTCTGGTTGGAAGCGCTTTTCGGAGCTAAGCCAGCCTTGGCCATGGATGTCAGCAGTCATCCACTGTCATAGGAGATAGCGCCCATCGCACATTCCTTGTTGATACACGTTGGACTGTCTACGTTAATGACAGCAGTGCCCACAGCTGAGTGCGCGATGTCCAGCCCACGACGAGAAAGATAGGCTGACCGCGCGAGCACGCGCTGCTAATTCCGCCACAGTTCATGCACTGGGCATTACGAGCTGCCAGAGTCGCTTATTACGGGACCATCGCACCCATTGCCAGGCTGCTGAACCAATGCATGAACCAAAAGTGCCGAACGTTTTAGTTGGTCGTTGTCTGTCTGTCTGCAATCGTAGACGAGTAAGCTTGTCGTGTGCTGTGGAACATGTGCTCGGTCGCGATTTCACCCTAGGTTGGCCGTTAGGCGATGCAGTTTCGGATCGAGTCTGCACTTCAAACGCGGTCTTAACTAAAGGGAAGAGTAACAAGTGTGGCGCTTAGCGCAAGTGCAGTCGTATAGATGCTTGCGGTTAAACACAAAGAGTCGATTGGAGGGTACGAATTTTTAGGGAATGCGTCGGATTCCCCCAAGCGTGCGTCGGTGCGGCAAGAAAGGTGTTCCTAGACAGCATATTAGAACTAAAAGCATATATATATATATATATATATATATATATATATATATATATATGTCTGTGCCTGTATACATGAACCTGCGTAGTTTTGTGACTATTGGAAATTCATACCCTTGAAGCTCGCAGTTTATGGTGACTTAAACCAATGTTACCTAACTTTGGAGGGTCATGGTAATACCCTCGTTTTGTGAGTGTATCGCGATGCGCAAATCTCAATGTGGACCGCCATTTCCACTGATATATACCTTGGTCAATTCGATCACTGGAATTGTAATTGATGAGACAGATAGGCGGCGACGCAAGAGTCCTCTGTCCCTCCGTGGGCCTTCACGTTTTTGTGGTTGTGTGGGCGGACCTATGCAGCTGCACTACTAATGGGACAGTGTTGGTTCTCATGGGTTCACCAACGCCATCTAGCTTTAATGGTCTACTGGAACAGTTGCTTAGCAACAAAGGGGGATCAGCGGAGTAAAATCTCCCAAGAAAGCTCCGTATTTCGATGGGAAATCAACGTTAACCTCTCAGGTACAAATGAAACATCAGTACGCTTAAGGAATTTTAACCACAGGAACTATCGGTCTACACAACGCACTTGCCTACCTCCCCATTGGATAGCGGAAATTAACTATCAGTCATGGCAGGTGACTCAGCTCTTTTGAAACGCGAACATTTGTGGGTAGGCCAATAAATATTCACTAGTTTTCACACTAATGTATCTGTCCAGTAGCTTGTTCTGCTGCACGCTTTGCCTCAAAGCGTTGACTTCTGAGTTTCTGATGGGATTCGGAGCTGAGAGAAAACGAGTTCAGTTCAACTGGAATCGCAGACAGAGATAGATCGTAACCAATTCTGACGGATACAAGTGGCGATACAATATATTTCTCTGCGGAACAACTTTAAATTCGGCTACGGCGACAGGAGGCACAAATGCAAGTGCGAATGAAGCTGTTCGAAATCTAGACGCAGCGGCCCAACCTGCTGTCCTCAGAAACAGCTTCGCGGAACCCGCAGGCAACTTCCGTTGATCTCTTTTCCAATTCCACCACTAAATTCAGTTATGATCCTGAATTTGAAACCACTTTCAAAACGTGGTTCAGAAGCTGGTAGGATATGTTTAAATACGGATTTCAGGCGTCATGACGGCTTTCGGAAAGTGCGACTGCTGCTCCGCAAACATGCTATGAATGAGAGTTCAAAGTTCGTTGATCACATACTGCCAACGTAGCCGAAACATCTCAGGTTTACCGAAAAGGTGTCACAGCTCAGCGAAGTTGTCGATGAGTCGTCAACACTATTCAGTGAACTCTATGGTACAAACACTTTTTGATCTGTCACAAAACCCAAATCAAAACTGTCAATTTCCAACTTCATAGAACTCTGTTCCTAATGAAAAATAGAGCATAGGTACCGTTAACAAAATGTGTTGCTTAGGCGGTGAAATACGTATCATTGTCAAATGTACAGAAAGGCGTCATCCTAATAAGGACAACGGAACATAGAAACGGATAGTCCACATAATTGTGTGCTAAAAGCAGTTTTGTTTGTATTCGTCAGGATTCTTATGCATGTACGTGGGAACTATGGAAGGAATACAATATGGTGAACACGTAAACTTCGTGTATGTCCACTTAGTCTGGTCGTAATATCGATAACTAAACAGTGGCGACATTTAGCGCTTTATTGCGCATCATCATTACATAATCAACGTGCGAGGTGACCTGACAACGAATAGAGACATAGTCTGATAGAAACCGACCGCTTTGACTTAGTACCACATCAAGAGGGAAAACAAAATAAGCACTAATTGGAGGGTCAAGTTTGGATTACACGTTGTGTGATTGGATTGCGATACGCAACCTCAATTTAATGGACTGTGATTCATATTGAAATGAACCTTAGTCACTGCGATCGCGGGGACCGTATTCAAACTTGATGGTTGCGTGTCGCAATCCAATCACACAACGTGTAATCCAAACTTGACCCTCCAATTAGTCATCTACCGTTGTGACAAAAAGCATTGCCCATCGTGACCCGGTAGCCAAAGGGGTAGTAGTGTTGGCTGCTATTCCAATGATTGTGGGTTCAAATCCTGCTGTCTCCACCTGATGAGATGGAATTACATTGAAACGCGTCGTTGCTATGCGGTGTTTTCGGGTGGGCAATACCCAATTTCCATCTACTTGAAATAAGCACTACTTTCATGGAAGCCACGGAGCGAGGGAATATTCCATAATCGTGGGCTATCGATCCTGTATTGCAATGCGGAAAGGAGCTGCTAGGCAGTCATGAAGTTCGGCATAGCAAGACACGATTGCAGTGTCTCGTATGGTAGGCTTATACAATGGTCAGCTGACTGCAGTGGAAACAGACTACTGTCCAAGCGATGATGCTGGTGGGCTTGTTTACACTGCAACGTACTGTGGGTAATTATAGGATGTACCTTATGAATGATAGTATATGATAGTGACAAGCGTCAGGTGCTCGTCCAGAGAGCATACTGATGGATGAAACAATTACTACAAATTGTTATGAGTGAAACGTGATAGAGAGACATGACCACTAAGTTGCACAGGAATGTGAGCGTTAAGAATTGCGAAGCGCAGAAAGTACTATTCACATAATAAATGTACTTCCAACTGGAAATGGATAGACCTTCTCTTCCCCTGAGCTTACAGCTAGGGTAGAACACGGTTTAAACCTGTAAATGGTACAAAACGGTGTAGAAACTATAGAGCCGACGGGGCTGGTGCACCTAATCATGGATCAAACCAGGTTCAGTGTGTCTTATTCCTCTGTTTTTCTAATAAGTTTCGTGGTTATTTACATTCGACTTAAGGTGCTGAACTACTTAACGAGCTGACTGGGCTGAAACTAATCGGCGTAATTTGAGTTATCTGTTGCAGTGACTTATTATACACAACAGTTAGGTTTAAGAGAGTAGTCAACCAAGCTTGCACATTATTAAAATTTGATTCATTATAAAGATAAGTGAAGGCCTCGTTAACAGGAAGAAGTTTAATCGGTACAAAGATGTTACCATTCTCATCGACGACAGCTTCTTCTAAACGTGAATTATCCTTACCTGAGGTTCAAACACTCCAAAGTTTTATTTCCCTTTAATGCAATTGCAAGCTCACGGCATCCCCTACTCGGTCCAATTCCATTGAAAGATAGGTTGAGTATTTTCAAATACTTGTTTTCCTGTTAACAGGACCAAAATGTAGGACAGGTAAGTTGTAAAGTGAACAGTGCGGGTGTATGGCCGAGAAATCAAACGAATATAAGGTTGATATTCCAAAAACAACATCTGGTCAGTGTCACATGGTGAAAGGCTTATTTTACTTTTGTTGATCCAAATAATTTTACCAATCATTGTCAATGACATGGACAACTTTGCATGTCAGAATAAGACAAGTCAATGTAATGTAAAGACTAGACCCCTTTTCAATCAGTTCTCTCGCACAAGTTTTCGCAAGTACTTTATGCGTAACTCACTAAACGCTGTGCTAAGTTACTTAGACTGGTGTCGTTTGTCTAGGTCTAGCTCCTCCGACATCCCACATGAAGCAGAAATCCATCGTAGCTTGCATAAAATGGCCCTCGCATTGTTTGTAATACAAGTTCAATGTAGTCACTAAAGTAATCGGACAAATTCAAATACCTGTTTCAGTGAACAATGAACAATGATTTAGCACGGGTAAAAAAGCATGTGCCTGACAACTCCCGTAGGATGGTCGGGGTAAAAATTAAAATTTGTAGGAGCATCGAATAAGTAAATCGTTATTTCAAGTGCCCACCGAGTTAAGTGCTCTACTGCATAACGATAGTTTGAAGTAGGAATGGAATGTGTACATGCAAAATAGTATAGAGAGTTGCTATAGTTCAGTAAGTGCATGAGAATTAAAAAATGGAAACAACAACGCTCATTCGTTGGTTTCTTTATTTAACAGATGTGGTATGTGAATCCAGTTTAGCTACGTCCAGGCTAATCACATGGACACTTCTTCATGTATCCTCACCGCCAGGTTGCGGAGAAGGCCGTTAAGCAAATAGGTTTGTGTTATTTTGTACTCCAAGTGGAACGGACTATATCAAGTGATGCAAGTTTGAAAGTTTTCATCAAGGAGCTTTTGTAAAGCGTTAATGTACGGACAAGAATAACTTGTCATTCCAGGCACGGGACACCCGGAGGGAGAAAATGTTTCGTCGACAATCAAGTCGACTATAGTGCGTAGCCAGTTTGATCTGATGGCCTCTCAGGTTGATATTTTGGCTCAGCTGCAACAGATTGCCCCATGGATGAGTTGGTTTCATCAGCATTAAGTAAACCATGCTTAGATCTCCTCGCTGACGTCGATATTCACCACTGTACAATCTCAGGGACTGCAGTCTGCGTTGTTAAGAGAGATGAAACAATCCTCTAACGAGTTTGGTCGCTCTACGTTGTGGAGCTTCTAGTGCATCGACATCGTGCTTGCGTCAGAGACGCCAGACCTGGAACGTATATTCTACGTGAAGCCTCACCTAGGCGTTCAGCATTTGCGGAAACATTGATAGCTCAAAATTCCCGAAAGTCCTCCGTAAGAGTCCAAGATGTTGACTGGATCTTTTTGATGCCTTTTCAGTCTGTCTCGAGCAACCAAGGTTGTCCTGCAAGATCATGCCGAGGTCATTTGCTTGGGAAGCGCGTTGTAACTGCTGGTCCTCAAGTCGATATTCATAAATAAGCTGATGGCGTATGCTTACGACTTTGAACTTGGTCACGTTAAACTGGAGCCGGTTGTCGGATGACCAGGCATAAGCCCAGTCGAGATCGCTCTGCAATGCCATATGATCATCCGATGTCCTGATATGATGCCAACTTTTAATCTCATCTGCAAATAGTATAAAATTCGAATGCACTACACTGGCAAGATCGTTAATGAATATTAGGAATAAACGTGGCCCAGTACCGATCCTTGAAACACGCCACACTGGACGTCAGTTGGGTCGGAAATGGAACTTCGGACTCTCACATTCAGCTAGCGTTGAGCGAGGAAGTTGCCGGTCCAACCGAGTATAAGGCCACTGGTTCTATAGCTTCGAAGTTTGTGAAGGAGAATGCTGTGGTTCAAACGATCGAACGCTTTCGAGAAGTCCAGGAAGACAACGTCAACTCCCACTCTGGCATCAGCTGACTCTGTCAAGCTTGCTCGGGCTAGCAACAAGTTTGTAATGCAGGATCGATTTCGGTGCAATCCGTGTTGCTGTGACACTAGGATATTGTTGATCTCAAGATATCCCATGAGCGCCTCTGCAATTATACGTTCCAGCACCTTGGATAAAACGGAGGACAGTGATTGGACCGTATTTCCAGGGCTCCGAACGATTACCACATTTGTAAATAGGAGTGACTACTCCATGTTTCCACATTGTCGAAACCTGCACTTCGTCGAGACAACGTTGAAAGAACCGACCTAATGGTTCAGGAAGTTTCATGGCCGCTGTCTTCAGTGGCTTCGGTTTGATGTCGTCCACTCCAGTTGAGCTGTGCACGCGCAATGACTTTGGCGTTTTCCTCACATTGGCTGCCGTGAATGATACGTGGTTTAACCCTGGTGGCGATGGAAACTGTGTGAAAAGCGGATGAAATGAGGATTCACTCTGGAAAGTATGGATGAAATGTTGGCGAAGCACACTGCCTGCTTCTTGTGCGGTTTGCGCAAGACCATGTTTTGCAAGTAAAACCGGGATCCCGCGCTGCACACTGCGGAGCTTGTTGACATGTCTATAAAGCAACTTAAGAATTGTACTCAATTTCGCCGCTAAGTTCTGTTGGTGTTGGAGTTTGTCTTCACGGGTCAACTTGACGCAGCGGTTTCGTTGAGTTGTATAAGCATCACAGGTCACGTTATTTGGACAGACTTTGTAACCGCGCCAGGCTGAATTCCCTAAGCCCATGCATTTCCTAGTACGGCTCCTCAGGAACGAATTCACCTGCTTCTGGCAAAGGACTGCGTACTGACGCATTTGCCACTAGCTCAGTGAATTGGATGACGAACAACATCCAGACGACATAAGGCGGCTTCTCGGCCAGGAAGGACCAGTCGGTTTCTTGAACGAAGTTGGACAGTATATCGTAATATATAACGACATTGGTTTCCACGTTGTTCTCGCTGATGTACTCCGAGTAACAGATGCAACAAAAAAACAACATCGCGTGATCACTACGGCTAAATGGTGCATTTATGGTCAAGATGTTGACCATTAGTTCCTTGTTGGAGAGCACAAGGTCCAAAACATAGGGTGTGTCACCCGTTCGGAATCGCGTTGGAGGGGTGACATGGTTGTACAGAGGTACATCGAAGATCACCTCTTGCAAATCCGCCTTGAATTGTTCCCTGTGCAATGTTGGAACTTCGATTGCTTGCAGGTTGAACTCCCCCACCAGAAGGACGTGACTGTATGGTCGTGCCAGGAGTCGTTTCATCGCAGAAGCTAGGCATTGATCTGTTTCTATGGTGGACATTGGGGGGCAGTAAACCATTGCTAGTAAACACACATCATCACATCTTAGGTGCATACGACACCAAAGAGAATCGAGTACTTCTATTTCTGGGTCCTCAATGATATCAAGATGCAGGTCGGATGGATAATACAGGAACACTCCCCTCATCTGCTGGGTCGATCGTTTCGTATAGAAGTCATGCCGGATAGTGCGATCTCCGCATCCTTCACCTCCGTGTTCAGCCATGTTTCGGTGACCATAACTAGCTCCCAATACGAAGTTCGGTTAGCTTGCTGAGAAGACCTTGTGTATTGGTATACAAACAGGTGAGTGCATCGGTGATCAGAAGCGTGTTCGTGAATGCTGGTTTCCGGTGAGGGTCTATACCGACCCTTGCGGAGTCAGCTGCCGGTCGTGTTTTTGTAAGGCCGATAACACAGGCCCTAGGGTCAGTTCAGGTTGTTGTATAGAGCTCTCAGCGCCAACACGAGCGTGACTATGCTGTCCTTCTTCAGCCTTCGGCGTGTTTTGGCATTGTTTCCGATCTGAGCTACACGGTGACAAACGGTATTGGTAAGTAGCTTGCTCAGTGTTACCTTGTCTATCTATGGCCTGGTGCTTATTGTCTTTACACGTATTTCGGATGGCAACATTTTACGCCTTTTGTGCCATATTTTGATCACACCTTCTGTCATCAGTTTGGAGTCCAATGACACTTTCATCACTTGGTGACCACACCCTTTGTAGTTAGGTGATGGCGGTTACCTTAATGTCGAATTAGCGATAACATTTTCGAATGAGAGTACTTCACGAATAAAACGCCATTCATCCCAGTCATACGTTTTGACCTCTAACTCGCTTAGTGACTGGAGTTCTGGGACACAGCGAACAGGGATAGATTTTGCGTCTTGTTGTTTACGGAAGTCATCCGGATATTTTTTGCGTTTCTTGCGTTCGCTCTAAGGTACATCAGGAAGTATTCGAGCAGTGCATGTGGTGGTATGGAGGCGAGTGGCTGATAAGAGAACTGCCATTGCATCATTACCAGACTGAAGGGTTACCTGGAGTAACCGTAGTTCACCGTAATGTAGGGAATTTGGGTGATGGCCGAGACGCACCATACTGACTGGTTTAACTTGAACCTCTATTTGTTAACACAAGGAGTCCCACTGATTCTTGTTGTCTAGTTTCTTATCTTTTATGGAGTTCGCCCTGGATTCAGTCACATTAGAGCATATAACTGTTAGAGAATTGTGGTAATGTTTCATGTTCTCCTTTTTTGTAGGGATCAGTGGCTGCTTTCTTCGGTTGGACAAATGATGGGGTCTTGAGTCCCGTGATGGTTTTGACAGTAGTAACTGGTTTGGCAGCGGGCGGAGTTGCAATTGGAGGTGCCTCTGTCATATGGGTAACAACAACGGATGAGTAGGTAGTCGGTCCTCTAACAGTGTTTAGTGTGGCGGGTGATTCTGTTGAGGAATGTGTGGCGAACGCATTTTTAGGAGCTGACGCTAGTATCAGGGTGGCTAACTGTATCGTTACTATTACAATGTGCTGGATTTGAGCTTGCTTTTGAGCATCGAGTTCGAGGCACTGCTTTATCTGATTCATGGAAGACAGCTTTCACGACTGTTGCTGCTCTAAAATCTTTGTCAGCCTATCGTACTTCTGCGCCAACATAGATATACATCTGACGTGTGGAAGAGACATACAC